CCCCTGCACAGAAGGGCCATAGCTGTCTCTGCACCATGTCTGACACACAGCACACTCAGGGAAGGCTTGGCGGATGCTGAAATGAGAGAACATCCATGACCCAAACCCAGAGGGTGCAGAGGGCTGGAGCCAGGCAGGGGAGTGGAGGCAGGATGAAGTAGGGCAGAGGGGCGGGTGGGGCCTGGACCACAGCTGCAAAGGCACAGGGCAAAGGAGGCCATCCACAAGGAGGGCAGCAGGGAAATGGGCACCTGGGACAGCCCCTCCCACACCTTACTGCCCACCCTCTCCACCCCTCAAATAGAGAGCAAGAGTGCGAGAGTATGAGATGGGGAGTGACTTGTCCAAGGTTACTGGGCAGCTGGTATCTCCGGCCTCTTGCCCAGGCTGGCACCCTGCCCCTCCCAAGCAGAGAGGTGGCCTTCACAGCTGACTGGCTTCCCCACCATGCATGGCTGGTTCCCACCACAGCAGAAGCACTGGCTGTAGCGCAGGAGGCCCAGCCCAGGAGCACACCAGGAGGGGAGAGGGCTGTAAACTCCTCAAGGGGACGCTGGGAACCAGAGGGACCCTCACCTAGCTCCCTGGAACCTACTGAAGCAGACCTCCCTGCCCTGGGTGGAGTATGAAGTCCCTGGTGTTTCTCCACAGGTGGCGGCATTGTCCTGGATGAAACCCAGGGCTAAGCATCAGAGAAACTAGGGTTTTCTTCCCCTCTCTACCACATCCTGGCTGTGCAACCCTGGATAAAAATGACTCAACCTATCAGAGCCTCACTTTTCTCATCCATTAAAAAGGGGCTATGGGAGCACCTATCTCCTGGGTGGTTGTGAGGGTTAAAGGTGATGAAGTGAAGAAGCACTCGGAGCAGCAGCAGCTCTCATCAGCATCCCTGCACCTCTCCTCTGTACCAGACACACCACTGGGTGATTTATAGGAATCATTTCTGATCGCCTTTGACAACCCCATTATAGAGATGAAAAAACTGAGGCTCAAGGAGGGGAAAGGACCTTCTCCCACATGCAGACAGTTATGCTCCCAAGAAAGGCTCTGAAAGTCTAATCCAGGTTGAAAAATAGGTTTCCAACTGATTAGTCGTGGCTGCCAGGGGTGCTCTGCTGGAGGATGCTGTGATTGATTAGCAATGTCTGCACTGACAAGTGCATAGCCACTAGCAGTGAAACTCACACAAATTCACCTAAATAACAGAGATTGAATCTGATTTTCCTTGGAAACAATGTCCTCTGAAGGTGTTATGTTCTATCTAAAAATCTGTCGCCTAACGTCTAATTGAATCTACTGCCAGCAGAGTGTTGACTCAGCTGTACGTGCGGGCCCTGTTCACCACTGAAGCGCAGGTAATCAGAGTGATAACCACATGTATGGTGGCTTTCTCATCTCCAAAGCTGCATTGTCACATCACGTTCACCTTAAGTACTGCGTTGTCTTGGGTGCAACCCTGTGAAGTGGGTATTACTATGGGGAAACTGAGCCTCATAAAAGTTAAGAAATTGACCCTTAGTCACACAGCAAGTAAGAGGTAGAACCAGCCTCCAGGTCTGTCTGACTCAGGTCCCCATAATACTTTCCTCAGTGCCACATGCCACCTCTCTGTGAACTAAAATAAAATCTTAAGGCTTCCCCCTCCTGTGGCTGACTGGACCTCCTGTTGGCCAAGGAATACCCAAAAACTGAGTTGCTATCCAGGAGAAAGAAGATCAGACATGCTTCATCATGTCCCCCTACCTTCTCAGAGATGTCCTTTGTGACTCATCAACAGGCCTAAGGCTATGCAAGCCTTACTTACAGGTCCTCAACACACACAACAAATCACTTGAGTCCAGGCTTACTTGCATCCTATAGTTTGTCTCTGATTAGCAGACCCTTCTCTTCGATGACTCCTGGTCTATCAGACAGAGCCTAACTCTTTCAACCAATTGTCAACTAAAGAATCTTTAAACCCACCTATACAAGCTGTGGACCCCTGCTTTGAGACATTCCACCTTTTCAGGCCAAACCAATGGCAAACCAATGTACATGTTCCACGTATTGATTTATGACTTTACTTGTAATTCCTGTCTCCCTGCAATGGATAAAACCAAATTGTAACCCCACCACACCGAGTCTACTTGCTCAAGGTTTCTTGGGCATGGCACTGGGCCATGACCTTCAAATTTGGCTCAGAATAAAATTCTTAAAATTATTTTACAGAGTATGGCTTCTTTTCTGTCAACATCCCATGAGTCAAACAGCAATCTATCCCTTGACATTTCAAACCCAGAGGCCTCCCAGCTGACAACGTGTGCCCAAGGCCCAGGCCAGGCAGGGAGTGATACTGACATTTGAGTGAGTGGACCTTTCTTGCCCCAGCTCACAAGCTCCAGGAGGGTCCCAGCAACCTGCTGGCTCTCCGGTGAGTCAGTCGGTGACTCAGGGCCCAGTTCTAGCCTGGTGAGGAGCTGAGTCAGGGAGCACCAAGCTTCAAAGGACAGTTGGCTCTGGACCAGGGCCCCTCAGCTCCAGGGACATGCACTCAGGACAGGCTGTCTGGGGTGCACCCTCCCACACTGCCCTGCCTACTCCTGGGCCTGGAGGTCATGAGTGTTGCTCCCGCTAGCTGGTGCCTACACATCCACCATTCCTTTGGGTTCTCAACGAAGACAGAACAACCCTCTGCAAGATCTAGTCAGGCAAACAGTCATTTATAGTGGTCATAATGATTGAGGGACACTACTAATAACTGGTGCCCAAGGGCCTGGCATTACATGTTGGCCACACATTACAAAACACTGCCACACACAAATGCCAGCAGGGCCGCACCAAGAAGCACTAGGTTAGACACTGCTCAGCCCTCCCCACAGAAGCAGAAGGGGGCCTCCTGGCTAGGAGAGAACCCCGGAGCTCTCAACACTAATCAAAGATACCCCAGCACACATACACCATCTCCAAGCCCCTAAAGCCCACCCTGTGCTCTGCACAACCAAGTCCATGCTCCAAGGGTCCCCGTAGACCCAAGGTCTCCTGGGCCTGTGTGTGGAAACCCTCCTTTCCTGGTTCCACTCAGCCTATGAAATCTCAGGCCTGCAGCACCACAGCCGCAGGGGCCCTGCATATAGAATCACAGCCACCAAATCTTGAGCTCACACACTCTTTGAAACACAGAATTTTACAGTCTTTGAATCACAGAAGCTTAGAATTTCAGTGTCACTGAGCCTTAAATCTTAACTTGGAACCTTTACACTCAGTCACAGAAGTCTCGAGTCTGAGTGTCCCAGAGCCTGATGCTTTTGAAGTCAGTTGGCTTTGGAATCACCAAATCTCTGGTCCGAAGGAAGTCAGAAGGCTTCAGGCTGAGGCCTAAATTAGCTCCATTCCCCACCCCCAGGCTTGGCAGCCCCTGCCCATGGGTATCCTGGGGGAGCCCCCACTTCTCTGAGCAGCTTCCCAGGTTGAGAAGTCCTGAGAGAAGGGGCTGTTTTCTTTTCAGGGCCCTCTCCACAATAGATAAATGAAAGCCACACCCAAATGCACCCAGGGCCAGGACCCCTGGTCCCCTCTTCTGGGCCAGCTCCACTATTGTCCCCAACCCCAGGCCACAACTCACACATGCTGAGGATAAAGGCAAAAAGGGTGGTAAAGACCAAGAGGGCAGTGACCCCTGGGACTCTTTTTGCCCAACAGACCAGAAATGTAGAAACTGGGTGGCTTCCTGGGGACTGGCTCAGTGGTCAGGCAGGGCTCGAGGTGCCTGAGGTCAGGGCAACCTCCATAGCGAGTGTGGCTGGCACCCTGGGCTCCCAGGGCTGGAAGGGGGCATCTCGTGCTGAGGCTCAGAGAGAGGGGCTGACAGGACTAAAACCAAACCCCCCTCTGGGGGCCTCTGCATGACATCTGGGCCAGTTTTGTGAGGATTCAGCCCAGCCAGACCTGCCCTCTGAGACCGAGCTGGGCTGGGCAGGCTCCCTGACCAAGGTCATCTGAGCCATGTTCCTGAGCAGCACTGCCCATCTTGGCCACCTGAGACTCAGAGAGGTGAAGTGACTTACTCAAGGTCACACAGAGCCCAGAAGGCTTCCCTGAGGAGGTGACACTTAAGCTGTGATTTGAAGCATTCAGCAAAGGATTTGGCCAGGTGGAGAAGGAAGGAAAAGGCCTTTCAGGTGCAGAAAAGAGCATGTGGGGAGGCCCAGAGGCCTGGAAGAGCATGGGGAAGGGCCTCTCAGTAGGAGGCTGGGCAGAATGGGGCACACAGGGCCTGGCAGCCGGGGGAGGACTCTGCTCTGTGCTCTAGGACAACGGGAAATCGGGGAGGCCCCAAGAAGGAGGTAACATGACACACTAGGGATAGCAAGTGGAGCAGGCAGACTTGAGGAGGCTCCCCCTGCTGCCTCCTGCCCTAAACAGAGGCACAACTGGGAGAATGGGGGCTACTGGGCCCCAGCCTGCATGTGAGCTCTGCCCTCAAGTGTTGAGACAAGGCCCACAGCCACGCTCTCATCACCTTGTGGTCACTGTCCACTGGATCTGGGCCAGGGTCTGACTTACCTGCTTCACCAGCCCCAGCACAGACCTGGGGCTCACACCCAAAGACATTGTGAGCCAGCCAGCCACTGGACTGACCCCCTGCAGCCATCAGTGACTTCCAGAACCATTGCATCAGCAGGACCCCAGGTCCTCATGGGCCCAGTGTCTCCCCAGACCCACCACGTGCAGTTGCCCACCACCACGAGGCCCAGGGACCTCACCCCAGGCCTCAGGTCTCTTAACCAGAGGAAGGTTGACACCTACCATGTGTCAACCACCCAGGCCGAAACACTGGGGTAGCTCCAGGTATGCCCACCACTGTGCCACCACGAAGCCCACCACTCCCTCTGCTGGCCACTCACTCTGAGTGAACTAGACCTCCTAGGTCCAACAGCAGGTGGGATTCTCAAAAAAGAGCTCCATCTCAGGCCCCCCAACCCAGTGCCTGGGCAGGGCCAGGGCTGCACAAAGGATATGGATTGCACACCATCTTGATGCACCAGTTCCGAGGGCTGGTGGTCTGCCGTAGGCAAAAGAAGGCAACAGGCGCCAGGTCCGGGTGTGGGATGTCAGGATCAGCTCCATCCAGGGGCTCCTCCAGGCCTGGCGGAGAGGGTGGGGGGCTCTGGGGCCCCGGCTGCTCCGTGACCCCCGGCTCAGCAGCTGGGGCTGCTACAGATGAGGAGGGTGGAGAGGCGCTCTCAGCCATGTCAGTGCAAAGCTGGGAGCCCTGGGGAAGACAGACAGGATGGCACATGGTGGGGCAGCCCTGGCATTTGCTGCCCATCCTACCTCCCCCCCACAAAGGGACACAGCAGCTCTAACAGCCCTAGATTAAGAAAGAGCTGAGGACCCAGCTGGACCCAAGTTGGAATGTACTTCCAAGCCAGGGGTCACGGGGCAAGCCTGGTTCACCTTGCTGAGCCTCGGTTTTGGCAAACGAAAATAGTGGGGAGAGTAACACCTTAAAATGTAATTGTGATTTTTTTTTTAACAAGACTAGAGTTGTGTATTTATCCAAGTTTGAATCTTATCTATTCAAAGATAAAGAAAACTTCCTAGAAAGAAGAGGAGGTTATTGTAAAAACACACATCATTGCCAGAATGAGGCATGTTACAAAGGAGAAGTTGGGGTGCTGTGGCATCAGATCCTTGGGGAACCCAGCAAGCCAGGATAGGCTCCCCTGAGAAGCTGACACCTGAAGCTGAACTCTGGACCCAAGGACCTCCCACCCTCTACCTCACGAGGTTGAGAAACCAGGGATCCAACCTCTTTGCTTTACAGATGGAGAAACTGAGGCCCAGAGAAAGGACAAGACAGACATGCAGCCGATGACAGCAGACTCTGAATTCCATATAGGGTCAGCTTCCTGGGGCTGTGGCCTGAGCAGCTGTACAGGGCCTCACGCTAGGCAAGACCCTGTGCTTGCTTTAATGTTCTGCCATCACTAAACTTGAAATTCTTAATTTTCTAGCAAGGAGCCCCTCATTTTTATTTTTTACTGGGCCCTGTAAACCACATAGCTGGTTCTGACTCCATCTCAGTTCAGGAAAATTATTATACCCATTTGGCAGATGAAGACACTGAGGCCAAAAGAAGGGAACTGCTTGCCAAGGCTGTACTCTAAGCCAAGTGTACAAGCAGGTAGTGTTTAGAGACCAGAATCCCAGCACCCAGCCCTATAGACCCACTTAATGACAACTGATGGTGCCCTTAGTGGCTGAGAGCCTCTACAGCTGGCCAAGGGCAGGGTGAGAAGAGCAGCCACTCTCAGGGCCTGCTCCTCACCACCTCACCCAAGAGGCTACTGATCCCTGTGGCCTTTTCCGCTGAGGTCCCCTGGGCCCTGGAACCCCAACAGTGCTGAGAAGCACAGTGGGAGTGGGAGATGAGGCCCAAATCCCTAGTGCCCACCCGGCTGCTGCTGGCGGCTGCTAGACTGGCGGCTGAGCTGCCCGGAGCTGATGCATTTGGACATCTCTCCCACTCCCGGGGGCAATGGGCGGGAGCGAGAGCCTCCTGCCACTTCCCCTGGCTGGTCAGGGAGGAAGAGTTTTCTCCTGAGCTCAGGGCTTTGCTCTTGGTTGCAGAAAAATAGCCATGGGCCTTACATAAGCTCCCAGGCACCTTGGGCTGCCACATGTCAACCTCCCAGGCTAAAACACATCCTTGCTGGGGAAGCTCCAGGTCTGCCCACCACTGCACTAGCCTCAGAGCCCACCACTCCCTCCAATGACCACTTGCTCTGGCCAAACTGCACCTCCTAGGTCCTAGAGCAGGCTGACTACCTCTTCCCTCTCATTGAAGCACCCTTCCCTCCTCCTCCCCAACACCCAGTTCTCTAGGACCTGCTGATTCATTCATTTGTGCAATGAGCACCTACTAAGTGCAGGCACTAGCAGGCCCTCTGGGGCTCTGCTGTTGAAGGATTCAGACTTGGCACCAGCTCCCATTCAGCCCACACTCCAGCAAGGGAGAGAGACACACTCATCGATTAATTTCTCCCTTGCTGCTTTTCCATAGCTCTTATCATCATCAAACACAGCGCATAATTTATGTATTTATATTGGTATGATTTAGTACCTGTCACCTCAGCCTAAAATAAGGCTGTAAGAGATCACGGATTATGGTCTGGTTCATTCACTGCCATATCCCCAGAGCCTGGAACAGTGCCTGGTACATACTAGATGCTCAAAAAATATTTGTTGACTAAATGAATAAAAATTGCTGGCAAGTAAATAAAGGAGAAGGGTAGAAACAGAGAGAAACCACTGCCTTCTCTAAAAGAAGAGACATTTAAGCAAAAAACACCCAGAATCTGAAGGTACCAGTCACAATTGATCTGTGGGAAGAACACCCCAGGTAGGAGGAACAGCATGTGGAAAGGCTGAGAGAATGGAACCAACTCAGTGCATTTAAGGACCAAAAGTGAAGCCAGTGTGCCTGAGCATGGGGCAGGGATGAAACTGGAGAGTTTGGCAGGACCACATGTGAGCATACAGGAGCAGAGGTTTTATTCTAAGTGCAAGAGAAGCTATAGGGGATTTTAGGCAGGAAAGTGTATTTTTAAACCATTCCTCTGGTGGTGGAGTGACAAGGGTGGAACAGGGAGGACTAGGGGGAAGCTGGGGTAATGGGCTGGCCTGGCCTCAGCTGATGGTGGGCAGATGGAGTGGGTTGAGATAAATGAGCACCTGGCCTTCCATCAACCCCAGTGGCACATACCTCACCATACCCTAGCACTGTTAAAACCCTCCCTGTGACCACACAGATGGACAGAGTTGCCCCGACCTCTGGGACTACACATAATCCCACCTCTTCTCCCTCTGAGCTATGTCTGTTTTGAATTTACTTGCGTTCTGCCTCTCTGAACTCTGTTTAAAATCATCACACTGTGTTGTTCTCCTCTGTTCTCACACCTCTCCCCCTCACTATGGGGCTCCTAGAAACCATAACCCCCAAAGCCAGCACCCCAACTCACTCCCCACTGCCCACCCAAGCTCGACCCTCTCACCTGCTCCCAGTGACCATCACCAGCCCCTACCCTCTGACCTGCTTCTTAGCAGCTGCCTAGACCAACACCCTTTGACCTATTCCTCATTCCCAAGGCCCCAAGTCAGCCCAGAAACTCCTTTTTCCTGCCCATCTCCTATGCCCAGCTGCTTGTGTGCCCATGGCTAGAAGCCGGGGGGGTGGGAAGTGGCAGCTGCCCCTTCCAAAGATCCAACCTGATTGCAGATGGAGTCTCACAGAGGCTATGAGGTTATAGCCTTGGTGGATTCAAACATGGGTTCATTGGGATCCAAAATCTAAGCTACCTCCATGTTCCCAAGTCTTTTCTTCCTAGATCCTCCCAAGGCCTAACACTGACACTCCTTTCCCAGGGTGGCCTATCAAGCACTGGTTGTGGCAACAGGAATGGCCTCCATGAACAGGGACAGGAGCAGAGTCCCACTGTGAATGGGACAGGTCCTCCTATTCCTGATTCCATCAGCCTGCTGGAGTCTTGATTTCCCTCTCTGTAAAGCTCAGCCCTCTTCCTGCCTGCTTTAGCAGACCCTTACGAAGAGGCGATGTGATGTAGATGGGAAGGCTGTAGATTAGGAATTCAGAAAGGCAGATGGCCATGCATGCATGGGACCAGCTGTGCCATCCCCAGGGGGTGCTACTCCAGCCCTCCCCCTACCATCACTATCACCTCCACCATCTTGACCACCATCACCATAATCATCACTATCACCATCGCTGCTGCCACCACCACCACCACCATTACCATCATCATCATTAACACCATCACCACCATTATCATCATCATCACCATATCATCACAGTCACTACCACCATCATCACCAATACCTACACCATCATCACCACCACCACCACTATCATAATCACTCCCCCAACTACCATCACCATCACCACCGTTACCATTATCATCACCATCACAACCACCATCATCATTACCATCATCATCACCATCACCATCACCACCATAACCACCACCACCATTTCAGAATATCACCCAGGATCCTAGAGGCCCAAATCATCTTAACACCCATCACCACTACTATCATGACCATCACCATCCCCACCATTACCATCATCATCACCATATCATCACAGTCACTACCACCATCATCACCACTACTATCATAATCACTACCACAACTACCATCACCATCACAACCACCATCATCATCACCAGCACCATTACCATCACCACCACAATAACCACCACCACCATTTCAGAATATCACCCAGGATCCTAGAGGCCCAAATCATCATCACGCCCATTACCATTACTATCATCATGACCATCACCATCCCCACCATCACCATCACCAATACCAGCACCATCGCCATCACCACTACCATCACCACTGTCATCACCATGACCCCATCAGAAAATGGCCAAGGAGCTTTCTATTCCTCATCTGTGTTAATTCTCACCACAGCGTTATGACATATAAACCATCCTTATTCTTACTTCATAGAGGAGGACACAGGGTTCCAGGGAAGTCCAGCAGTGCCTACAGTCTCCCAGCTAGTATGGGACAGAGTTGGGGTCCTACCTCAGGCCCACTCCCAAGCCCAAGCACCAAACCATTATAGGCACCACCCTGGAACAAGGCCTCCCCTCCCAGCTGAGCCATCAGGCAGTGGCAATATGCTGCTGGTCCAGTCGAGACCTCCAAGGAGGTGGGAAAAACTGACTCCCAGAATTTCCTGGTGTAGAAAGCCTTGTGGTGTGGAAAGCCTGTGTCTCTAGAGCTCATACTCCTAGTGGAGGAAGACTTGCGGTCAGGCCTGTATGCCTCAGGCCTCGTGTGTGTGCGTATGTGTTTTCACACAAGCAGGCAACTTATTTATCCCTTTGTCAACAACCACACGCCAGTTAATGTCACTGCTAGAAATACAAACAACACATTCATTCAGGGAACAACAGAACTCAAGAATCTCAGAATATCTTAGACTTACACAGGATCTTAGAGTCCCCAAATATTAACTACAAATCTATAGAGTTTCAGAGCATGGGCACTACACCCAAAACTACGTTCAAGTCCTGGCTCTAACAAAACTCCCCTTGGCACAAAACTCAGCTTGGCAGGTGCCCTCAGCTACCCTGTCCATAAAATAAGGGGGTACCCATTCTGGAGCAGGGCTACTGTGTGAATAAGCTGAATAAGAGCACCAGGTGCAAGGCGAGT